CTCGCAATGGCAGACTCTTCCAACAACACACCTCGCCAGCCCGGCTGCTTCCGCCTTTCCCGCTACTGCCCCGTTACTGCCCCGCTACTGCCCGAAACCCGGCACCCCGGCCTCCCACCCGCACACATCCCAACCAACACCCCCCTCCGACGCAACCCCCCACATCTCCCACCAGGGGGCTCCAACAGGACGAACACTTCTGAGCCGCCGCCGCCGCCGTCACGTTCGCGGTCACCCATGCCGCGTCGCATCCGCCGCATGGGTGCAACCCCCCCGCCGTCGTCGCCGTCGTCGTCGTCATCGTACGGCGGTTGCCTGGCTATTGCAGGGTCTTTACCAAGATCCAGATCCCCGCCACCGATGTCGTACCCGAAACCCTGCGGCAGCCCCCCTCGTCCGCCGGCGTACGGCCCCGGTCCCGAAGCTCCTCGCCCTTTCAGGGGCGACCAAGCACGCTTGGCGCCGCCGCCACCACTCCCGCCAGCGTCGCCGTACAGGTGCGCGTCGCCGTACAGGTGCGCATCTCCAGGTAGCTGCTGCGCGTCGGCTATTTGCGCCCGTAGCTTGGGCGGCCGACCGCGGCGCTTTGGCCCCAGTTGCACCTGTTTCGGTCCCGCACAGGGCAGTCGGGACGGGGAGAGGGGGTTAGGGGGGCAGCAGCCGGTGTGCTTACGGAACAGTTGTAAGGACAGAATGATCGGTTGACGAGGTTGTGTTTGTGTCGGGGGAAGAAAGAGTAGTGTGACGGGGTTAGCCCCGGGGAGTGCCGTACAGTGCGATAAGGGGTCAGGGGACGGCCGCGCGGGGGCGCGCCCTCCTATGTGGATGACTGACGGCGGTGATGGCTTGGAGCCCCCGGGGGTGTGTGTGGAGCCCCCGGGGGTGTGTGTGGAGCCCCGACAGTCCCCTCTCCGGGGCTCTCCTCCTCCGCTCATGGTTGGAGGTACGGCGGCACCCCGGTGGGGGAGGGGGGCTGACTCGGGGGCCGACAGAGAACGCCGTGATGGGCTCCAACAGGCCACTCTGGTCCGCACACCCCCTCACCACCACCACCACCACATACCTCAGCCAGCATGTCAGGCGGCAGGTCCGGCGGATGGATATCATCATGCGGGCCAAAGGGTTGGCGAAGCGGCGGAAGGCCCGCCAGCAGCGGCAGCGGCAGCGGCAGGGGTGGCCCCATGTCGCCCATGCCGCCACCCAACGGGTGATCAGCCCCGCCATTCAACGCCAAACCGCCGGGGCCGCCGCCAGCGGCACCTCGGCCGTACCCGAGCCGCATCACAAGGTTGCCAAACAACTGCTGCTGCTGCTGTTGCTGCTGCTGCTGTGCCGCCACCGCAGCGGCGGCCATGGCCGCCGCCGTCGCATCATCATAAGACGAACTGTTGTACGGAGCGTGACCGTGCCGTACCGGCGGCAGCTCCTCCTCATGCTCGTCGTCCAGATCCTCATCCCCCTGCGCCGCGAGCGCCTCCGAAACCTCCGGCCAGTCATCGGAGCCAGCGCCGCCGCCGCCGCCACCACCACGAGGACCCCGTTGCTGCGGCG